TTTTAATGCATTGAAAAATTCTAAAACACTTACATTATAGGTATAATAGTATATGTCAAGAGATACTACTACTACTATGGTTAAAAAACTGGGAGTGTTGAGTTTTAGACCTACCTTAGACATAAAGCCATCTGGGTGACCTTGTGCCAGTCACTCTCTCAGTCCTAGGAAGGTTTTGGAAGGACAAAACCTTTCCAAGAAAACTGCAGGGATTAGTCCAAGCAGTCACCACAACAACACTGACTTGAAGACATCCCCCCAAAGAACTTCCCATGCACAAAACAAAAGAAAAATCACACAAATCTAAACATGGAACAATAAATGCTCTTGAAAATAAAGCATGTCTATAAAGCCTAAGAGAATTCTAACAGTATACTTTTTATAACTGATTGGAATGCTTCCTAATATTGGAAGCAAAATATAACAGAAAGAATATATGCTATTGCTTTTATTAATTATAAACATACTGTATATTATAATAATAGCAGTTTTTCTTCTACGAAGTAGCCATATGTCAATGGCATAGGCTCTCAAGCTGTTTGACCACAACAGGTTGAGCCAAAATTTCCAAACCCTGTATGGAAAGAAGTTAATAATTGGCTGCGTCCTCATCAGCCAGCCTACCTATTATGCTGTTCAGATACACTCATCCAGGACTCCAACAAAGAGATAGCAATAAGAATGCCTTGGCGGTACTCTGCTCAACACATAAAGAATTCCTACACACTATATCAGTGTAAGAGTATGATGACTCAACAGTTAAGACATTGGGCTTGCCAGCTGGAAAGTTGACAGCCTAGGTTCAAAACCTGAGCACTGGACAATGGGATGATCTCCCGTTACCTGCCCCAGCTCCTCCCATCTAGCTGTTTGACAGCATGCAAATGAAAGTAGATAAATAGGTACCACTTCAGAAGGAAGGTAACAGCATTCCCTGTGGCTCTGTGAATAGTCATGCTGGGCCACATGACCACATTGTCTTAGGACAATGCTGGCTCCCTGGGCTAAGAAAAGGAGATGAGCACCATCCACTAGAGTAGAACATGATGGTAAAGGGGAAACCTTTACTTTTACTTATATCAATGTATCAATATATCTTGTGCCACACATTGGCTAACCAGATGCCATGGTATCCCAATAAGCAAAACATGGGCTCCCATCTATAAATCTTCCCACTACCTGATACAGATAGATTTTTTTTCCTGGTATTATATGAAAAAAGATTATTTACTCAACTAATTTAGTAAGTCTTTGCAGAGTCCCAGGTAAAGATTTTGTTTTTTATTTTTTTGCTATTTGCTAAATTATATTTTAAACTAAAATTCCAGAATTTGCACTTTGGAACTTTCTGTATTAAAAATGGGAGGTCTACCAGCTGCTTCATGGAGGGCATATTCATATACATCACATAACATTCTTCATCGTAAAGGAAAGGCTTTTTGTACTTTTAATAGTTTTTAGTATTAATGCTACTACTAATATTGGTCTTTTCTAGAACTATAATTCCTTTACCAACAGCCTCCACAGCCTCATTTTGAAAAACGTGTAAATTGGATGTAAGGAGAACTGCCAAAATGAGATGAATAGGAATAGGAATCTTCTGTTGGTGTGTATTGATGAAGCTCTGCCGCTCAAAGACAGGATATTTCCTTGCATTCCCTTTTACATTGTTCTTCAAAGCTTGTCAGTTCAATGTGAATCCGATCTCATGGATTATTACATCGGAGTCTGACTGTCTGCAGTCTTTCTGAATTAGAAACTAATTGTGGGATAAGAGCTATGTATAATTTAAAAGCTATGGATTTGTTGTCTTGCTTTCAAAAGGCTCCCTCACTTCTGTCCCCATTGCTGAGCATGAATTATAGTGTAGAAGTTTGCAAAAGGCCGTTCTTCTGGATCTATGCACTCAGTTTGGCAAGTGGGAGGAAAGAGGGTGCTTGTTCATCTTCATCAACAACATCTAATATTATTCCTTGGTTCCTTCTTTTATTATGAAATGAAGTAGTAGTATTGATACAGAAGAAAGCAGTAGTCTTTGGTTGATAAATTATGAATTATTTCAGGATCACACATGGGCAGGATATACACACACTCACACACATTAAATGGGGTAATACATTAGTTTTCTCTTTCCCTGTAGTCTCTTCAATTACATTACTGTCTCCCTGCTTTTCAAATTCTTATGAGAAGTAATAGTAACTCTGCCATTTTGAATTATATTTTAAAAGTACTTGTATTAAACAACTTCTCAACTCGGTGAAAATTCCAATTTAAAGCATTTATAGGGCGCATAAAACATATTTAGGAAATCTCTTTTCTTAATCTATAATTGAGTGAAAAGATGGGCATATGAAAGGAGCAATGGAGAAGGATATGTGAAATTGCAGAGAAAGAAATGTGTGTCGGCTATGTGCAGTATCATTTTGAAATGAATTATTAGGCTCATTCAGCCTGCACTCTTTACTAAGACTTAAGAATTCCTGTGTTAATTCAAGCATTTATTTACAAATCAACTAATTGAAAGACCCAAGAAATAGTCACAGAGAGATGAAAACATGTGTACGCAAGAATAATTAAACTTGTTAAATCATCTACAATAATCTAAACCAGGTCCTTACAGAATGAATGACACCACGGTTGATATTGAGATTAGTAGAAAGAAGATAATATTGAACAAGGTAATATTAAACAGCTTATAGCAGTGATGACGAACTTTTTAGAGACCAAGAGCCCAAAAACTGCCCCTGCCCCGCCCGCTCTGCTCTGCCCCCCCGCCCCCCACCCCACCTGCTCCCAGGCCCACTCACCACCTCCACAGATCGCCCAGGTGTCCCAGCAGCACCATGGTGGCCACTCCCTCCACCCATGCCCCACAGCATCAACTGCAAATGACAGAGTGCGAGGGTGGAGTTTTGTCCCCGCTGCCTGGCTGCCATGTCCTTGGCTGCACTGCTCTGTGCAGGCCATGCTCAGGGGAGACTCTTCTCTGGGGGGGGGATGCTGGTGAGGAGGGGGCCACGGGGAGGTGGGGCTGGGGCGATGGCACGCGTGCCCACAGAGAGGGCTCTGAGTGCCACCTCTGGAACGTGTGCCATAGGTTTGCCACTCTGGCTTATAGGCTACAATCTCTCAATGGCTAAGAAGAATATTTAGTATTTACCTTGCAGCTTTCTCAAGTACATAAAGTGTTAAACAGTAATATAAAACGATTTTAAAAATAGCTGAACCTATTAATGTGTTTTATAGATGAGGAATCAGAAGAAGTAAACATAAAAATGACAACATGAAATCATGAACAAAATACAAAACAAACATAGGATAGAGAATAAGTGGTCTGCAAATATCTAGGTTGCCTCTACATTAAGGGTATCAAACTCGCTGCATCAAGTGACATGTTGCGACGTATCGTGTCTTTTTTCTTCTTGCCGTAGCTGGGGTGGTCACAGCTTCTGTGTGACACATCGGGCCCACGGGCTGGCAATTTGACACCCCTGCCCTACATGGTAGGGCTGGAGTTTTCTATATGACTTTGCTGCCACCTAAAGATCATATAGATTTTTTTTAAGGCAAAGATCTTTCTCTTATTTTTGTGAAAGTACAAGGGGAAAGGAAATTAAACACACCTTATTTGAATTTACTGGGGAAACTGCCAAAGCCTATGAGACATCTGTTTCCAAGAAGTGTTTCTCCTTGCAGCAACCAAGGAAAAAGTGAAACCATGGAAGAGGTGATTGTAGCAGCAGTAGATCTTTTAGATCCTTCTCTAGATCTCTCATTAGAACCTGCCTTCATTCAATATCATTATTCTCCTGAAAGTTTTCTTGGGACCAGTGGTGGGATTCAGCCAGTTCACACCAGTTTGGCAAAATCTGTAGCTAATTTTTTGTTGCCCAGCCCTAGAACGGACTTCCAGAAGCATCCACACAGAGAACTGGTTGTTCACATATTTGAATCCCACCACTAGTTGGGACCTGCACTTAGATTACAAAAAAGTGGACTTAATGATTCTCCCATTTTTTTTGAAGCCTAGATATAGGTGTGTTGATAGTCACTAGAAAAGAATATTTGTAATTCAGGGTTGAATTGTGTGGCCCTTGGTGCTCTCTAAACTTAACTGCTCAAAGCCTAGGGCAAGAAATTGGGTGGCAAGAGGGAGACCTTAAAATCAACCGGTGGTGAGTCATTTGGACTCTTAGAAGACTGAGTTCCAAAGATTTAGGGGTCTTGCAATGAGTCCTGCCAGACTGATGAAATCAAAAGTTAATTCAGGTCCTGTGTGGGTACAATCTGACCCTAACCCTATTTGTCATTGTCAGGACTTAGAAATGCACCACAGTACTGAACCTACGGTACTTAATCTGGCCATAATGAATTTTCTGTTTTCCTTAGAGCTGAAAAAATATTTAAGTCATCATATATGTTTCTTTTTAATATTGTTAACCATTCTGATCCTAATTTGAAAATTTAAGAATAGCATTGCCCTATTCCTTAAGGATATGCTTAATGTGGAGTTGGTTTATTAAATTAAACATAGTTACTACAATGGAGTTCTTTTGGAAATGTAATATGAAATATGCAAGTGCCTTTTCTTTTCATGCACCAAGTCAATACATAATGAGTTAGACAAAACAATAGGCTTTGAACCACTTCCCTAGAGTCATAAGTTTTAAAATATAAATAATATAATATATCTAGTCTGGAATGCCAGTTCTTCGATTTCTGTAAATCGCAGGTTTTTCTCTGGGTTATGTTCAATACACAAGAGAGGAAAATGATTATTTCCCATCTATTTTACTTGCATAGCCAGTTCATATAATGATTACATATTGATTCCTGATTTATAGAAAGGAAACTCACAGAGTTGTAAATATTTGGGCTTCAAGATATCAGAACATAGAGTATAATTTTTTTTTTCTATCTACACACATATGCAGAATGTCTATTTTCACAGAAACCATATTTATGCTCTTCCATTGTCATACAAAATAGCATGGCCTTGACTTGTTTTTCAATCAATCAATCAATCACTCCATCAGAAGGATTTGATGATTTTATTCTGGGAGTCAGAATGGAATCTCAGGACACTAAAATGGTAATCAAGAGAATCTAACTAGCTTGCTGTTCATGTGCCTGGGCTACTTTCCTATTTGTGGAAAATTACTGGTTGCATTAGATTTCAGAATACATGAAATAGTCAGACTGACCCACCACAAGCCTGAATCTTTTATTATTTGATATGCACTCAATAAACCTAACAAAGTTCATTTCGCTAAACAACAAGTTAAATATTCCACATTAAAAGTGAAATTGTGCCACATTCAGACTGATCCTCAGTTGCTGATAGTTGTCATGGTGCAAATTTCTGTGGAGTTGGCTTGGAGAAGTATCCTCCTAGAACAATAAATCAAGCTAGCTTTAAATTCTCATTTTCCCACCTTCCCTTCAAGTAAAATAATATTGACTCTTTATTGGAAGCAGACAGTGGGGCCTCTTCATTGTTAACATTTTCAGTTTCAGTTCAATCATTCCTACAAACTAACCAGTTCCTGCTGTTCTGTATTATTTATTTTGTTGCCGTGAATACCGAGAGTTATGGCCAACATTCTTCACATATTGATATACATTACGAGAGTTTGGAGGGAAACCATTCATCTGCCTTGCTTCTCTCTAAGCCTGGATTTCCTTGATTGCAGAGTAAGATAAACCTGCTATCTTGACTTTAAATACCCTGGGAAGGAATGCACATTTTCTTTTTCTCTCTCTTCCTTCCTTTCTCTACCATGAAACACACACACATAAAACTATCCCAGCCTCTAGTTTCCTACTGCCGGGCTGGCAATATCCATATTTGTTTTTCTGGCAAGCTGAAAGTTTTACAGCTGAAGATTCAGGAACCTTTGAAGTCTCTTGGGGAATATCATTTCATCCCCTTTGCTTCTGGGTCAGAAAGGTAGAGATTGATCTGTGGAGTTCATTCCCCTTGATGGAAGGATGTTCCCCCACAAATTAACAACAGCGAGCCTGGTGAGCACACTAGCTCCCTCAGAGCATTTTGGGAAAGGAGACTTTATTGTATTTATGGAGATGGAAAAAAAGAGGTGGCTGTTGTATACACTGTCCTAAAAAGAGATAAGTAAGAAAGTCAAACAGCCATCATGGCTGATAGGACAGTGGAAAAAGTATTGGATACATAAAGTTAAAGAAAGGAAAAAGGAATTGGAGAAGCTCTTCCTGCAAAGAAAACATAATAAATCTAGGAGCTACACATAGCCATGAGCATTTTATGACCAGAAGCAAGCATAAGGGAATGACTCGAATGTAACTAAAGCCATTAATTACCTGACTATGATCAAAACCTAAGTAAAGCAAGTATATTTATGGTGCATCTTAGAAGGGTTGCTTCAGCTTTCTGCTTTTTTTTATTAATTGGTTTGATTAAGTAGATTTAAAGAGCCTGGGCAGTGATTCCTAAATCATACTCCATATTGATCTAACAAAATACTCAATAAATTTTCTAATACGGTTCCTTTCTTTTTTGGTTTCTGGAAGTTTTGCTCCTCGTCGTAACTCAGCACAGAGCCCACTGTTGTGACATTTGGATTGTAGCAAACACATGAATAGCTCTGAATATGGGAGCTCTTCTATGATTAACAAGAGCATGTTGCTTAATGCTTGTATATGCTGGGTTAATGTAATAACGAAGTAGTAATAGTAGAATTGACTGGGAATTGTGGGGATTATATTCTCAGTGCATTGAATAAATACGATGTTGAGAAATTGTATTTTCCTACTGCTCCCTTTTTTGTAGCTTCACCATCTGAACTCTGAATGATCAGAGAAACTATCTTAATAATATTAATAAGGCTTAGTTAAGATCTTCAAAAAGCCATCATTAAGATGGCCCAAGCAGGGCTTAATACAGTTAAGAATTCTGAACACTAAATGAAGGGGAAGGAGGAGAGGTCTATTTATAGCAATGTACAAATGACCTGGGTTTGTGACTTATATATTGTTTTTCAGTTGGTTGAAACCAGAAGAACCTCTCAGCGTGATGCATGCAACATTGTGGACATTGCACTACTGCTAAGGAATTTCTGTCTTTCACATAATTTCTGTCTTTCATTTCATAAGAGTGAATGGGAGCGAGACATTTTCCTGTATATCTAATTATACAAGGGCTGCATAGTGTCTAACATATGACGCCAGGCCAAAACCGGTCCAGAATCCTTTTTTAGCATCTTAAGAAAGGTGAGAGATGAGTTTAAAACCACAATGTTAAACATAAAAATGGCATAGGAGAGCTTAGCTTGGTTCAACTTCAGTTCTGTAGGCTGGATCCTTTTTAATTGTATTCCCATCACTAGATGCTTAATTTCCCTCTTTCACAACTCGACTCTCAAATTACATGTCATACACGATACATTGAACAAAAATGAGTAGAAGTCAATGGTTTTTTAAAATGATATATGCAATGTCATTACATATAGTAGTTAAGTAGGAACATACATTTCCAGTATTAGAATTAACCATCACTGCTTTTGATGATCAAGTAGGGTGACTTTAAAAAAAAAACAGTTCTTCCTTTGGAGAGTTGGTAGAGCTGGGTCCTCTATTGGAAAATGTCCTTTGCTTGGAGGGCAATGTAGTTTGGCATTGGAGAAAGATAGCAGCCTTATCCCATCACCATTTACACTTGGATAGCAACTCAGCAGGAATTTAGAGCAGGGGTCCCCAACTCCCGGTCCGTGGACCAGTACTGGGCCACGGCATGCTAGCAACCAGTCTGCACAAACAAGCGAAGCCCCATCCACAGGATGCAGGCAGCACACAAAGCCATGCCCCCCCCCCCCCGGTCTGTGGAAAAAGCTTTCTCCATATAACCAGTCCCTGATGCCTAAAAGGTTGGGGACCTCTGGTTTTAAGTACCTGATTTTATATATTTCCACGGCCACTTTTTCTGAAGATGCAGTTCCTCTTGGCAATTTGTTCTATGGTTGGACCAGTTTCCATTTCAAGATGCAATTTGTGGAAGAATATTGCTTACTTCTTTCACTTGAATCACACCTAAAAAAATAAAAGTAAATTCCATTTGAACTCGCATGTTAGTTTTCTCCCTTCCTTGTATGAAATAAGGCTGGTTTTTTTTCTGGAAAACAAGATATACCCACTTCTAAGCATGTGATAAAATTCTTATTTTAGTGAAACAGAACCTACGATGAAACATCCCACATTTGTCTATGTGAAAATGGACAATGGAAAAATGTGGTATGCTACAGGATAAAAAATACAGTGTTACTTACATATCTGTTGTTTGCCAATAAGAAGAGGCTGGAGCACAAATCAGCTCCTCCAGTGTGTAAGTGTGTGTGTGTCTCCCTGTGGTTCACTAATGAGACTAGTAAAATAAATGGCACACTTTAGCCCTTGTCTGAATGAAACTTTGCTTCTTGAAAACAAACAGCCCTGGAAATTAAAGGAATTAGCTGGTGCATTGTATTTTTTCGTTCATGTTTATTTTATTTTGTTATTTTTCATGAAACTGCAGAAGAGTTGCACAATTGTCTCAGTCATCTGTTTGTTTTCTAATCGGTTCAGATTAAATAGTTCCTTTACAAAGGCAAGGAAGCTGGTGTAGTACCATTTTGTACTAGGCTAGACAACAATAGTGAACTTTAACTAGGCATGGATGCTGTAAATTTATTGTCCTTCACATCCAATTTGTATGGAAGGGAGTTCCTGAGACTGATTCAGAATAATTGTACGTGTATATAATATTTGAATAATTTATTCTTCCAAGATTCATGCTGGTTACTGAAATAGGAGTGGGAAAGAATATTGTTGATATTGTATTTTGTAACTGGGTCTTGGAAACAGGAGGTAGCTCATGATTTAATTCTGATCATAGAATTATGTAATGCAGGAGTTGGCAGGGACTTTAAAGATCTTCTAGTCCCACTTGCCCAATGCAGGAGTTCATTATCATAGAAGTGTATGGACAGATTTAAATAAGAGGTAAGAGTATAATGTATGAATAGATCTGAGACAGGGCTGGGAATGTCTGGCTTCTAGATATTGTTGGACCACAACTCCATAATGTATCTGTAGGCTATGGTATCTAGAACTGATGGAGCTGAATCCCAAAACTGCCAGCAGTCCATAGTGTCCCATACCTCTGTGGTAAACATAAAATCTATTTTAGTGTGCACTTCAAGGTGCTAATCTTCATCTTTGGTGTATTATGGGTCTGAAATACCTCAGAAAAGATCTGTATCTGCTTCTGGTAACTTTGCAGGGACCATCCTACAATGACATTCAGAGAGCCATATTGTTACATCAGCAAAATGCCTCATCTGTCTAAAGTTTTCATGGTACCAATGCCTTTCCATATGAAATGCAGTGAATATCTCCCTGCTCTGTCAGGCATCTAAAAAAAGGAAATATGTTTTTATCTTAATGTTTACCCAATGATACATCAAGATGCTCAACCTGTACCTCTTTGGGGAAGTATGTTTTCATGGAAGATCATTCTTGCCATGCTTCCCAGTTCTGGTCACTCAGTTTAATATTTCTTTCCCATGTAAAATCAGTGCAGGTACAGTAATTGCAATCAGCTTTCAGTATTCTGGAAGTAGTCATTTATCCATGAATTGTTTTGACTCGTCTTCTTTTATTCCTCCCCCCACCCCCAGCCAAGTTCAATACAGATCCAAAGTAACAACTATTCAGAAAGTAATAGAAATACAGTCATGCCACAGGACTACCGATCATGCTTATTATCTCCAGCTTTGCTTCTCAATTCATGGCAGTGACACTGTGACATCAGAAAGATTTATCTGGATTTTTTTCAGTTGCTCTTCCCCCACTCCTATTGAGCATATCCATAGAAAGGGTGTGTTTTTTGGGGGGCTAGACAAATGAAGAAGCATGGATTATAGGCAGGACTTCTAGCAAATGCTGTCTCTCTCTGTCTCTCTCTCTCTCTCTCTCTCTCTCTCTCTCTCTGTCTCTCTCTCTCTCTGTCTCTCTCTCTCTCTCTCTCTCTCTCTTTCTCTTGTACTAGTGGATAAAAGCATTTTTATTAAGTCAGGAACAGGAACTCATGAGCAATGGGACATGCAGCAAACTATGATGATGACAAAAGGATCGCATGCAATGACACTCATAGAAATGCATAGTTGCTTCGGGAAGTGATTGCAATGCACAAGTTGCACTATTTGCATGATTACCTTCTCATCCATTTGCCTTTATTGGACCCACTTTTACTTTCCCTCTGCAGAGGCTCAATGTTGCTCTCAGAAGGAAAAAGGCAGACAAGGCTATGTAATTGTAGTTGCCCTGAGACAAAAAGTGGTTTTCTTCCTCCAACTAAACTCTCACTTTGACATTAGCCCTACCCTACCTTTGAGTTGTTCCATCTTGTGATTAGACGTATGTAATCGTCAATTCTGCACCTAAATTACTAATTGGGACATGTTCAGAAGCTGCCAACATTTATAAAAAGATTTGTTAAACAAGGATTCCCAGTAGTATTGGATGGTTTTGTTAGAACTTCAGAGGTACATAGAGGCACTGATGATAGACATATTCATTAGTTTCCTTCACATATAATTTCTACTCCTGAAGAAAATGACTGAGCAGTAAATTTTGTCCAACCCTGGAGGCTCTCCCTAATAAAGAATGCTACTCTCTGTAGCTATTCATTCTTTGTGCAAGATACACAGATAAGAATGGAAAACTGGAATAATTAGTATGCTTATTCACACTTTCCCATAAGTGCAGAGCTTATTTCTGAGAACTATCGAATAGTGAGTGTATCTGAATGAAGTGATATTTTTCCAGCAAGTTGATACTTCTTGAATGGCTTCATTTGGAAGTTATTGAATTATACTGCACTGCAATCCCTACCAGTTACAATCTATTGAAGGTCCTCTATAGCCCAGGGGTGTCCAACCTTGGCAACTTTAAGACTTATGGCTATGCTGGGCTGGGCATTCTGGGAGTTTTAAAGTTGCCACAGCTGAACATAGCTTATAAAAGTTTCCCTCCTGCTGTTAGGGAAGATGACTAGCCTGAGCCCAAAACAAAACTCTCTGCTTGAGGACTGGGGTTATTTTTATTTCTTTTAGGATTTCCTTGAGGAAAAAAAAAATCTATGCCTTTGCTGTTGGCTTCCCATTTCCTTATTTTCTTCCTGTGAAAAGGAACACACAGCAATTCAGAAGAAGGGGACATGGCTAAAACACAAGAGAATGTTCTCCAAAGGAGTCCAAGGCCTGTGTTTGGGATTATTTCTCTGGAGTTGTTTATGGTGGGCTATTGCTGGATTGTACATAGCCATGAAAGTGCCAAACATATATCCCGCTGTAGAGGCAAGTTATTTCCTATGTCTGATAGGATTCATAGTTCCCAAACTAATAATACAATCATAACAGAGAGAGGAACTGGAAAATAATTTTACCAGAGAGTTGCCTTTTAATCTAAGTTCTAGTGCTTGGAAAAAGATCTAGAAGTAATTTACTGAAAATCATTCCTTCACTGCATTTTATAGTGGAAGCACAGATGATAACAATGACCCAGACTTTAAGTGTTTGAGAGCTAGGAAGAACTCAGACAAGCTTGAACCTGCTTCACAGAATGGTTTGGGCAATATGAATAATACAAGTTTGTCCTCTGCCTCTACTGGCCCTTAGTGGTTCCCCCAGGTTTCCAAGAAAGGTCTTTCCCAGCCATAAACTTGAGATTTATTATACGGAGATGCTGAGGACTGAACTAAAGATATTTTGTATGCAAAACATGGGATCTATTACTTTGCTAATGGACATTAATAATAACAATCAAATAGAGATAATGGAACCTGTGATGATATCAAGGGAGGGAAATATTGATTTTTTTTTAAAGGGCAGTGTTCTGTGTTTCAAGCTAAAAGTATGCAGCAGCACATGCATTAAATTATTTTCTTCACCCAACACAAAAAGTAAGCACACTCAGTGGAGAGAATGGTTTGATCATATATGAGGAGTTGTCACTTGCTAATGCTAAAGTAACTTCTGAAGACAACTGCAGCGAATATTTTGCTATTGTATAAATGCAATTCTTGGGTTGTTGCCTCTTTGACATCAATATTTCAAAGTGATTTCATGTTAATTCATTCCAGAAGCAACTAGTGACATCCTGTCTGTCTTCTAAACAACTCTAAAATTTGGGAAATAATCAATCTTTAATTGTGATATCCTGAAATTAGATCTAAGCCAAATTTTAATATTTGGCTTTGTGTTTGGCATATGACCAAAAATAGTAGAACTTTCAAAAAAAGAAGCAAAATGGAAGCAAATAGGCCTGAATGGGGAGAATGTCAAATCTTATGGGAACCATTGTTAATAAAATATTTCCTAACCAATGTACTCCATAATCTATATTTATTACCATAAATCAGCATGCACTTCAATGGGAAGTAAGCATGAGAATGATTGCTATCTTTTAGTCATTTCATAATGCATGCATTGATCACAGTAACCAGAAAATATGGTTGAACAGATTATTAATGCTTATGACTGATCGTTTATTGCACCATTTTTCTCAGATATGTTGCCAGGCTAAATTAAAGCAACAGTGAATATCATTATTGCCCATTTTAGACTCTGCTACAAAAGGAACCTGAGAAGTCATTAATATTTGTTTCTGCTTCAAACTACAAGGTGCAAAATATCTCCAAAAGAGGGAACCCCAAAAAATGGAATTGGCTACCTGTTTAAAACTGGTATTTTAATTGCCTTTAAAAAAATAAGATTTATTTTAAAGAACAGAGAAGTAAAAGAGCAAGTAACTGCAGTCATTTAATTTTGGTTATTCTTCATACTTTAGGCAAATAAACATCCTTTTAATATTAGTGCAATGATTCAACCTACTTTTGAGTGACTTGATTTGCAAAGAAAATGTAGCCATTTTTGGTATGAGGTTGGTACCAAATGAAGAAACATTTAAACATGTTGCATTTTTTTAAAAAAATGTACTGTGTGTACTTATTTATACCACTTTTGTCACTTGTAAAGATTATTTTTAAAATC